CATAACGATCACCTCCGAATGCGACCAATTATGTAAGTGTATTTATGTAAGTGCGTTTGTACGTGTATGTTTGGGGGTCTGAAATGGACTAATATACTTCACAATATTCCTTATGGGAACAAATTCTGTCAGTACTGGCACCTGAACATACTTCCGGAGTGAAAAAATATCGTTAACCGGGGGTCCACTGTATATATATGTCAAAAACGGTGGCTCGTAAGATGTATATACGACCGAAACAGTCAAAGGGTTAAAATTAAAATAAATGATCTAGTGAATATAATTTTAAAACAGTGAATGTAAAACACTTTAGTGCCTGAAATATTATTAAAACTATGAGTAAAGGAATTACTGAATAAAGGGCAGTACGAGGTATTGGTATGTAGAAAACTATTTTAGGAGAAAATATAAAAGGGACTAAAATAAGTAGTGGTAAACAAAGTTAAATGGACAGACAGTAGCTATGATATAATATTAATTTAGGAGTAAGATTTGACTTGTAATATAAAATTTGAGCAATTAATACACTAAAAAAAAAGTAAAAAGTATATGAGGTAGTTGGTACTAGCTGGTAAAAGATAGTACAAGGAATTGCACAATAATGTAATAGGAACATACACTAAATGCACCACACAATATAAGAGGGACTAAAATAAGTAGTGATAAACAAAATTAAATGGACAGATAGCAACCACAATACATTGGACCCCCGGTATTCGATGGCATCGGTATCCGATAAATCTGGTATTCGATACATTTTAACACAAAAATTTTGCCTCGCCACTTGTTAAAAAAACCGCCACACGCGATTTGTCCGAGACGTGTCCACGTGTGGCCTGAACTGCCCCGTGCGTGCCAGTGTTTACAAGCCAGCCAGTGTTCTCGCATCTAGGCATACATTCGGTACATTCCATATTATCACAGTGTTTTTGGTGCTTGTTTCTGCAAAATAAGTCACTATGGGCCCCAAGAAAGCTTCTAGTGCCAACCCTGTGGTAAAAAGGGTGAGAATTAGTATGGAAATTAAGAAAGATTTTGAAGGGTATGGGGCTAACCCTGAGAAGCCCATGCCAGTTGTGGAATCCATTGTGCCTACTTCAAAAATTAAGGAAATGTGTGCAAAGTGGGTTGAACTGCAAACCTTTATGGATGAAAATCACCCTAACACAGCTATTGCAAGCCGTGCTGGTGACTATTACAATAACAGTGTTGTGGCCCATGTTAGACAAATTGTAAAGGAACAGGAGGTACAGAGCTCTATGGACAGATTTGTTGTGTGACAGAGGTCCAGTGACTCTCAAACTGGTCCTAGTGGCATTAAAAGAAGAAGGGAAGTAACCCCGGAAAAGGACTTGCTACCTCAAGTCCTAATGGAAGGGGATTCCCCTTCTAAACAATAAGTTCAACACTCCCCTCCTCCCATCCCATCAATCATCACCAGATCTTCATTAAAGGTAAGTGTCATGTATTCTATTGTTAGTAGAGTACTACAAACTGTGCATGTCTTCAGTTTGTGTGCATTAAACTTAATATTTCATGTGGTAATTTTTTTTTTTTCTTACTTTTGGGTGTCTTGCACGGATTAATTTGATTTCCATTATTTCTTATGGGGAAAATTAATTCGCCTTTTGATAATTTTGGCATACGATGAGCTCTCAGGAACGGATTAATATCGTATACCGGGGGACCACTGTGTAATATTAACTTAGGAGTAAGATTTGACTTGGAACACAAAATTTGAGCAATTAATAGCACTAAAAAAATAAAAATGAAAGTATATGAGGTAGTTGGTACTAGCTAGTAAAAGATAATACAAGGAATTGCACAATAAAATAATAGGAACATACACTATATGAACCACACACATATATATGTGTTAAGGACACTTAGCTAATCAGTTATGGAAATGTCAGCTTTTCTAAGGAAGGTAGAGAAATCAGGTTCATTTGAGATGGTCTATTGTTGTCCTGTTGCTGTTTTTCTAACTAGTATTTTACCATCTCGAGTGAAGCACTGATGTATTTTGTTTTCCTCTTAAGTTTTCTCAACCTGAACAGAAGATTTTGACGTTTTCTTGTTAGACACTTGTTGATGTTCACTTCATTTTTCATTGTAATTGCTGCTTTAATTAGGTCTTTTTTTCTATCATATGAATGAATTCTAATCATAATACTGTGTTTGCCACCTTGTTTTCCTAGCAAACGCATTTTTTTGATTTCATTGCTTTGCACAATAACTTGTATGTAGTCATGTATTATCCTGATAGGAATTTCTTTGCACTGGGCTTGGGTTATGTCGCTAGGAATGTGCATCAGACAACTTGTTCGGTTTTGTCATCTTGGAACTCAAGGTATTCATTCAGTGAGACCAACACACTTATATGGGTGTGAAGCATGGGATGTAAATGTTGCAGCAAGGTGACTGAAGGCAGTGGAGATGTTGTATCTAAGGGCAATGTATGGTGTAAATATTATGCAAAGAATTTATGATGTGGAAATTAGGAGGAGGTGTGAAGTTACTAAAAGTATTATTCAGAGGGCTGAAGAGGGGATGTTGAGGTGGTTTGGTCATTTAGAGAGGATGGAGCAAAATAGGATGACTTGGGGTGTATAAATATGTAGTGGAGAGGAGGAGTGGTAGGGGTTGTCCTAGAAAAGGATGGAGGGAGGGGTGAATGAGGTTTTGTGTTCAAGGGGCTTGGACATACAACAGGCATGTGTGTGTGTGTGTGTGTTAAATGGGAGTGAATTGAGACGAATGGCTTTTGGGACTTGAGGAGCTGTTGGAGTGTGAAACTGGTTAGCTGGACTTGAGTCCTGGGATATGGACTGTTTGGAGTGACATCTGAACTGTCGTATCTGAGTGCCTCTGCAAAATCAGTGAATGATAGTGAAAGTGTTTCTTTTTTGGGTCACCCTGCCTTGGTGGGAGATGACCGACATATTGAAAATAAAAAAAAATAATACATTGTGTTTCTATAGCTATTGGTAAGAGTAACTGCTGTTTTTCTGTTGCTGTTTTATCAGATATATTTATTTGTAGGATTGCTTGTGTCTTTTTTCTGTCTCATAAACATGCAAGATTTCAGGTACATCTTGCTACTTCTACTTACACTTAGGTCACACTACACATGCATGTACAAGCACATATATACACACCCCTCTGGGTTTTCTTTTATTTGCTTACTAGTTCTTGTTCTTGCTTATTTCCTAATATCTCCATGGAGAAGTGGAACAGAATTTTTCCTCCGTAAGCCATGCGTGTCGTAGGAAGCAACTAAAATGCCAGGAGCAAGGGGTTAGTAACCCCTTCTCTTGTATACATTACTAGAGTTATAAAGAGAAACTTTTGTTTTTCTCTTTGGGCCACTCAGCTTCAGTGGGATATGCCAGTTTGTTGAAAGAAGAAGATTTATTTGTAGTATACAGAATGAGGATTTGGTGTGGGTGTAATATGGCCCTTTTTGTTTGGTGCAGTTTTTTTGACAGCTGTTGTTGAGATTTATTTTTTATTTAAAGTTTTTTTGCTTGCTACTGCATAAAGTATATCTATGTATTACTGCACAGTGGAACCTCAGGTCACAAATGCTTCCGAACACAAACAAATCAGTTCACGGACAGAAAATTCGCCAAATTTTTTCACCTGGTCACAAACACCTAATCGGGTGCCGAACAAACACAGCCATGCCAATTTTCACATTCCACGCCATTTTTTTTGCATGTGCTAGTTTTCCCCACTTCCTGATGTTTGTGTACACCTAACAGAGACCCTCCCCTTGTAGTTGGTCTTGGTCAGATGTGTGTTCATTCGCTCTGAACTCGATAAGGGATAATGTACCATCCTCTTATCCTCTCCTGGGTACTTATATTAGAGAAAATGTAGTGTAGTACATTGTTAACTGTGATATACACTCGTAATGCAATATAAAACTAAGTATGTTTATTCAGGTACACAAATACAGTTACATAGATTGTCATACATAGCAGCATATGTGTATTGAACCTGGGATAGCCCAGAAAAGTCAGACAGTGACTTATTTTCTTGATTTTTTTTTTTTTTTTATGCTCGCTCATTTTTGTTGATAATTTCGGAAGTAAGTTATACGTAAATTACAGTAATTACCATCATGATAAATTCGGATTAGCAATGTTTTATCAGCAGGTAGTGAACAAGCAGCTTCTCGCTGTGCCAGTACGTGGCTAGGACTTGCCATGTATGATTTTTGGTAAATATTTTTTTTCTCAGTTGTTTGTTGGGCTATCTTATTGAAACTCGGACAATGTATGATGGAAAGATGCTTCTTAACATACACCAAAAATGAAAGAAATCGGATGATAAATAATGGAGTTCACTTCTCAGCCATTAGACGTCTCTTAAAACTCTTAAAAGAAAACTGTTTACAGCGAACGGTTCGTAGGGGTCTAGAATGGACTTGTACAATGTTAGTTTTCTCTGTTCAAGGTTTTCTCAGTGTTATATCAGGTTTTTACATTTAGTTTACTATTACAGTGTGCATTCTGTGGTATAATTTACTATTTTTATGCTTAAAAATCTTTAAAAAAAACAATATTTACATACAGTTCATAGGGGTCTGAAATGGATTAATCGTATTTACATACAATCTAATGGGGAAATTAAGTTCGGGTCATGACCACATCGGGTCGTGACCAGACTTTTGGAACGAATTATGGTCATGACCAGAGGTTTCACTGTATATGAATATACTTGCAGTGACTTGTTCTATCTAATGGCTCCAACCTTCTCATCCCTAAAAAGAAAAAAATTGACTTCATGTCAACTTTAATTAAAATACCCCTAAATTTGGCCAAGGTTCTGTATATATAGTTCAGATAATCAAGCACCCACATGTATTTTGAATACTGTATATCATTTCAAATTTATAATTTTATTTTTTGATCTTAGGAGAATTTCATACAAAAGTTTCTGAGTATGAGAAAAATTTTCATATATTTTTTCATGTGTATCTCATGTCATTTCAGATGTGGCTGGTGTTCCTATATCTCTTATAAAAGGAATGTGGTTGAAAGACACATGAAAGAAAAGCACATTGCAAAGAAGGCATTTGACTTTATAATAAGGGAACCTGAGGATCCTGATGCCCCAAAGAAAAGTGAAGATGGCCAAGTCGAAGTAAGAATATTGAAGTTATGATACTTTTATTTTTCAGAATAGGAACATAACTGTTCTCTGATTTCTTGTCTCTCCCTTTGTTGATCTTCTCTTCCTGTCTCATCCTGGGGGATGTCTTGGTGTTACATGGCACATACAGCTTTAGTCCTTTCCCATAAATATAATAATACTATAATTCCATTGTCTTTCTACTGTCCCCTATCTATATTTCTAACCCCCCCCCCCCATTTTGCCCCCCTTCTCTCCCCCCCCCCTCAACCTGTCTCCCTTTCCCTTCACCCTTCCCTCCCTCTTACCCTCTCTCTGTTCCTTGTGACCAGATTTGAGGGTTGTACCCTGGCAGCCTATCCTGAGGTCAGACTTCTTTCTTGACTAATTGATCCACCAGGCTCCTAACCTACATAGTCATCACAACCTGACTGAGTTGGCACTTACAGAATGTAGAGACAGTTTTGTTTTTTCTTCATCAAACTGGCTGTCTCTCACTGAGGTAGGTGACCCAAAAAAGAGAAGAAACAGTTTCACCATCATTCACTCCATCACTGTCTTGCCTGAGGGGTGCCGATAGTGCAGTTCAAAACTGCAAATATCCCCACCCCTCCTTCAGAGTGCAGGCACTGTACTTCCCTCCCCCAGGACTCATGTCTGGCTAACCAGTTTCCCCGAATCCCTTCATTCATGTTCCTTTGTCCGCATTCCAACAGCATGTCAAATCAAAAACCACTTCCCTCCATTCACTTTTATTTAGCAGTATCTAACCGTAAGATATATAATATTGCTGTAAGTTGTGCAATATGGCACTGTGCCTGTCTCCATGTTTCAAGGACCATCCCACCTTGAAACATTTTTTTTTTTAACACCTCACACATTTCCCACCGAGACAGGGTGACCCAAAAAGAAAGAAAAACTTAAAAGAAAGAAAAAACTTTCATCATTCAACACTTTCACCACCATTCATGTATAATCACTGTCTTTCCAGAAGTGCTCAAATACGACAGTTTAGATGTCATCCCAAACATCCAGTATCCCAAACCCCTCCTAAAATAATTGTAATATAATAAGTCACTGCTCACAGTATTGAAACACAACAATCATTAGAAATAAGAACACAGTTATTAGAAGAAATTTATAGTAAATGTTGAAATAATGGAAATAGTGTAATGAGTTTATTTCCCTGTTTTTAATGCTAAAACAACTTGTAAAGCCTCTATCACTGTTAAAAAAAAAGAATGACATGGAGAGCATTTAAATCTGTAGGAAAAGGAAGGTGGAGTAGGGGTCGTCCTCGAAAAGGTTGGAAGGAAGGGGTAAGGGAGGTTTTGTGGGTGAGAGGCTTGGACTTCCAGCAGGCGTGCATGAGCGTGTTCGATAGGAGTGAATGGAGACGAATGGTATTTGGGACCTGACGATCTGTTGGAGTGTGAGCAGGGTAATATTTAGTGAAGGGATTCAGGAAAACCGGTTATTTTTATATAGCTGGACTTGAGTCCTGGAAATGGGAAGTACAATGCCTGCACTCTAAAGGAGGGGTTTGGGATGTTGGCAGTTTTGAGAGATACACCTACCATCTGACTTACGACCTGCTCGACTTACGACGACTCGACTTACGACCGTGCTTTTTTATGCCAAATTTCTGGGAAATAAACAAGTGTTTGTGTTGTACACAGTGTATATCCTAAACCTTACAGTATAAAATACAGTACTAACAGCATAAAAAGTGAAGTAAAACATGAAATACCAAAATAAAACAATAAAATAGTCATTACAAAAATGTTATTTTGATATTCAGTAGTAAAGTTCGACTTACGACCATTTCGACTTACAACCGGTTTCTCAGAACCGAACTCGGCCGTAAGTCGGATGGTAGGTGTATATTGTGTATTTTTATACGTATATACATACTTCTAAACTGTTGTATTCTGGGCACCTCTGCAAAAACAGTGATTATGTGTGAGTGAGGTGAAAGTGTTGAATGATGATGAAAGTATTTTCTTTTTGGGGATTTTCTTTCTCTTTGGGTCACCCTGCCTCTGTGGGAGACGGCTGACTTGTTGAAAAAAAAATTATTTTTTAAATATGTTGGCCATCTCCCAACAAGGCAGGGTGACCCAAAAAAGAATGACTTTCACGATTCACATATAATCACTGTCTTTGCGGAGGCGCCCAGATATGACTGCTCAGATACCACTCCAAATAGCCAGTATCCCAGACCCCTCCTTTAAAGTGTAGGCATTGTACTTCCCACCTCCAGGACTCAAGTCCTGCTAACTGGTTTCCCTGAATCCCTTCATAAAATATTACTCTGCTCACATGTCAACAGCTCATCAAGTCCCAAAAACCAATCGTCCCCATTCACTTCTATCTTAACACGCTCCAATGTACTTGATCTATGTCCAAGCCCCTTGCACACAAACCTCTTTCACCCCTTCCATCCTGTTCTAAGATAACCCCTACCCCTCCTCCTCCCCTCCACTGCAGATTTATACACCTTTCAAGTCATCTTATTTTTCTCCATCCTGTCTAGATGACCAACCCACCTCAACATTCCCTCTTCAACCCTCTGAATAATACTTTTAGCAATTCCACACCTCCTCTTGATTTCCACACTACGAATTCTGTGCATGATGTTTACACCACACATTGTCCTTAGACATGACATCTTCACTGCCACCATCATCCTCCTTGCTGCAGCATTTAGAGTCCATGCTTCAAACCCATTTAAGAGTGATGGTACCATTATACTCTCATACATTCCCTTCTTTGCCTCCTTGAAAAACATTTTTTTGTCGCCACAGATACCTCAATGCACCACCCACCTTGTTTTCTTCATCAGTTCTGTGGTTAACCTCATCCTTCATAAACCCATCCACTGACACATCAACTCCCAAATATCAGAACACATTCACTTCTTCCATACTCCATCCCTCCCTCCAGTGTGATATCCACTTTTTCTTTACCTAACTCGTTTGATACCCTCATCACCTTACTCTTACGTATGTTCACAATTTATTTATTTATTTATGCTCAGTAATAATCCACATGGAGACAGAAACCCAGGAGATTAGTTGATCTGTACATTTCGACCCTCTTCTGGGATCCTCTGAAGAGGATCCCAGAAGGGAGTCACAATATGCAGATCAATTAATCTCCTGAATTTCTGTCTCCGTGTAGGTTATTATTGAGCATTGACAAGCATTCATTCATTATACTTTAGTTATTCATATATATATTTATGTATCAGTAACAACGCTGCGACTAGCGGAGGACTCGAACCCATGTCGTTTTGGCCCCGCCTCGTGGTGAACGAAAATCGCATAACACTGTGATTTTCACTCACCATTAAGCATGCCAAAACGACGGGTTCAAGTCCTTGGCTAATCGCAGTGTTGTTATTGATTAAATACCACTCATCCGTGGTTACAATAATATTTATGTACATATAATTTTTTTTTTTTTTTTTTTTCAACAAGTCAGCCGTCTCCCACCGAGGCAGGGTGACATATAAAATGTGTGCTCAAATTTTATTTGTATTCAATTTTTTTTGTCATTACTATAATTATTATTATCATTTATTATTTTCTATATTTTCTTTGGCATGGCAGGAACATGTAGCGTATATTCCTGCTCCAGTTCCCCAAGAGCCTCAGTGGCAGTGTGGGCTATGCAAGTTTAGCTCTGTGACTCAGCAAGAGATGGTCAATCATACTAGTCTGAAGCATGCTATTAAGAGCCAGTTCAAGTGTGGGTATTGTAGCGTCAGATCATCTGTTCGTACCAGTTTTGATGCACACTTTGCTGCTAAGCATCCAACGCAGCCTTTTCGGGTTAGTCTTATGTTTTAATGTCAGTATCTAGCTGGGTTCAAATTTGTAATTCATTTCACATTTACTACATCTGTTATGCACAACTTTATGCAGAAATTAAAAAAAAAAAGTGTCAAGAATTTTTTTTTTTTATCTCAAGTGGCTATCTTCCACCTAGGCAGGGTGACCCAAAGAAGGAAACATTTACTATCATCCATTCAATTGCTGTCTTGCCAGAAATGTACTGTATGCCACAGTTCATGTTACCCTTTGACTTCAGCATCCCTACCCTTCCTTCAGAGTGCAGGCACTGTCTTTCCTAACCTCAGGACTCAGGTCCAGTTATTAATCCCTTGACTGTCGCAACCCTCAATCCTGAGGTGTCTCCTGGTGTCGCAAAATTTAAAAAAAAAAATTCTTTTTTCTTATGAAATGATAGAGAATCTTTTCCAGATTGTAATGACACCAAAAAAATTATATTTGATGGAAAACTGATGGAATTATGCTCTCGCGAAGTTAGCGCCTTGGCGATATTTACAAATTGGCGATTTCGCCCACTTTGAGCCCTATTTTCAGCTAATTCCATTGTTCCAGTCGACCAAGCTCATAGCTATTTCTTTAGAACTCTGTTTTTTCTATCGATTGAGTACAAGAAACTGCCCATTTACCAATTTCTATTACCCAATAACGTGGTCAGAAATTTGCAATTTGGCCAATTTCACGAAAATTAAAAAATATGACAATTTCAAAATTAGGTCCAGAATGAACAATGCAGACATTCCTGGCTCTAAAACAGCATTTTCTTTGTTCATCACTCATGTCTCCAGGCCTCTCTTGCTTTCTATTTTGAATTTTTATTCAAACAAAAAATAGAAGATTTACTATTATGCAGACTACTGCAATACTGTAATAATTGTATAAATAACATCAACCCATTCATAACTGCATATTAGAATGGCTAGTTAGACATTTATTGGACAATGACATCATTTGTTTACTTCTGAACGTGTATATATAGCCGCGACAGTCAAGGGGTTAAATGATGGTGAGTCTGCATTGGTGGGAGACGACCATTGTGGTATAAAAGAGTTATGTATAGGGAAACTTTATATTTTATTGAAGTATTGCCAACAGGTCTTATAGAAAGACTCTTAGTGCAGAGCAAACCTCTGTTATAGATGATGTTTTGCTCTGGGTGGAACTGGTGTGTTAAAGTTCTTAACCAGAGGGATATGTTGTCTTTAATGAAGGTTTCCTTTGTAACAAGGTATGTTGTTTATAATAAAAGCTTGCTCTATACCAAGTGCCTTCATATCAGATTTTATTAGTTGTAATTGTTTTTATCAATTATTGTAAATGCAAGTCCAAATTTTAAAGATTTTTCTGGCTATATTCCTTAGCATATAAGGTTATTACTCAACAGTAATAGTTAGTGTAAATCAGTAAAATGGGTGTATCTTCCTCTCTCGTCTCCACGAATGGCAAGGAAAAGTTGAAAAAAAAAATATATAATGTATTCCTGTTTTTAATTACACCATAAAGTAATATTAATCATGACTATTTTCCTGACTAGAGAATAATCTTTGAAGATTGTTCTGTGATGATGCTGTTTACCCATTAGGAATACAAACAGCACGCTCTACACTTCCACTTACCACTCAAGGCTACAGCAGTCTAGTCCCAGATCATTTTTTTTTTTTTCAACAAGTCGGCCGTTTCCCACCTAGGCAGGGTGACCCAAAATGAAAGAAAATCCCCAAAAAGAAAATACTTTCATCATCATTCAACACTTTCACCTCACTCACACACAATCACTGCTTTTGCAGAGGTGCTCAGAACACAACAGTTTAGAAGCGTATATGTATAAAGATACACAACATATCCCTCCAAACTGTTAATATCCCGAACCCCTCCTTTAGAGTGCAGGCATTGTACTTCCCATTTTCAGGACTCAAGTCCGGCTATATAAAAATAACCGGTTTCCCTGAATCCCTTCACTAAATATTACCCTGCTCACACTCCAACAGATCGTCATTCTACTTTGATCCATTCTCTCGAAATGACCAAACCACCTCAACAACCCCTCTTCAGCCCTCTGACTAATACTTTTATTAACTCCACACCTCCTAATTTCCACACTCCGAATTTTCTGCATAATATTTACACCACATGTTGCCCTTAGACAGGACATCTCCACTGCCTCCAACCGCCTTCTCGCTGCTGCATTCACAACTCAAGCTTCACACCCATATAAGAGTGTTGGTACTACTATATTTTCATACATTCCCTTCTTTGCCTCCATAGATAACGTTTTTTGACTCTACATATACCTCAACGCGCCACTCACCTTTTTTCCCTCATAAATTCTATGATTAACCTCATCCTTCATAAATCCATCCGCCGACACGTCAACTCCCAAGTATCTGAAAACATTCACTTCTTCCATACTCCTCCTCCCCAATTTGATATCCAGTTTTTCTTTATCTAAATCATTTGATACCCTCATCACCTTACTCTTTTCTATGTTCACTTTCAACTTTCTACCTTTACACACATTCTCAAACTCATCCACTAACCTTTGCAATTTTTCTTTAGAATCTCCCATAAGCACAGTATCATCAGCAAAAAGTAACTGTGTCAATTCCCATTTATTGTTTGATTCCCCATAATTTAATCTCACCCTTCTCCCAAACACCCTAGCATTTACTTCTTTTACAACCCCATCTATAAATACATTAAACAACCATGGTGACATTACACATCTCTGTCTAAGACCTACTTTTACCAGGATCATGTCTCTTATTATTGAATTATTTACAATAGATTGAGCCATGTGTACCTAAAAGTTGCTCAAAAAAGTCAAGGAAAAAATTCCCGATGCTGGGTAGTTAGAAATGGGAGACCTCTTACTAGGCATTAATGCAGACAGTATCACTTTATCCATTAGCTTTCAAGAAGTGGAAAGTTCTTTCATAAAACTAGGAAAGAATCACTGTGGAGATATGTAGTTTTTTCTGAGCAGATTTGTTAGTAAATGGTGTATGATCCACTGAACCCAAACTCACATCACCATAGGTGTTCACATTCCCACGTAAACCCAATGTTGTTTCATCTAGGTACTCTAACCATGCCTGTTTGCCATGTGATAGCATTTCTCATTACTATCTTCCAGTGTGGAGGAGCAAGTAGAATACAGGCTGTTATTCCAGTGAGAAAGATCATCAGTCTTTAACACACAATATTAAGTTTTAAACTAAAAATTATTGCTTGCCAGTACAGTAATATACTTGTGTTGTATAATATGAAGCTTTTAAAACTTTGTCTCAGTTATATTTATGTATAATCTATTTGGTGCATTTTTAACAGGTGCTTTGTATGTATTACCGCTTGGATTCTGAAGATATTGAACCTCTGCATCAAGGAGGTACTCCTCACTGTCATGAACCTCTTTGGAAACGAAATGATCCAGAACGTATTCGTCATATCCGTGGTATTCTAATTGAAGATGACCCTGAATGGAAAAGGGTAATTTTTGTATACTAAACACATTATAGTGCCTGCACTCTAAAGGAGGGGTTTGAGATATTTGCTGTTTAGAAACACATCTAAACTCATATCTGTGTGTCTCTGGCAAGACGATGATAGTGTGAATGATGGTGAAAGTCTTTCTTTTTTCTGGATCATCCTACCTTGGTGGGAGATGGCCAGCGTGTTAAAAATAAATCACATTGTAAGTATGCATCTCTACTGTGGGGAACTTTATGGTGTTTGCCCTATTAAAAACAGCAATTGAGTGAATGATGAATGCATTTCCTCGTTCTTCAGTGGGAGATGGCTGGTGGCTTAAAGAAATAAGCATGTATACATGGAATCAGATTGGAGGGAGGAGGAAGGAAGTGACTGTATCTAGATATTTGAGAGTAGATGTATGAGCAGTTAGGTGTTTGAAGGACTAGGTGAGTCATTAAATAGACAAGGGAGGGAAAAGGTAGGTAGAATGTGGAAGTATTTTTGGAAAGAAAGAAATTTATCAGTAGAGATAAAAGGGGTGAATGTATCAGAGGATAGTGAAGCCACTATTTTTTAATGAGTATTCACTTTTTGAATGTTACAGAGAGAGAGACTTGTGGCAGTGGAGATATCATGTTTAAGCCTGATGTGTGGTAAAGAGTACAGAAATTAGAACACAACATGTTGATATGAACAGTACAGTGCACAGAATGACCAGCCTCTTTTAAGGCAGGAGAAATTGCAGATCTTGAGAATGTACAGAGAATCTTCACTGCATGTATAAATTCAGTAGAGCACCTAAATTATTGGAACTGTTTACAGTCCCTTGACCTGAACTCCTTGGATTGCAAACAAAAAATATGTCATAATTTATACCTGGAAAATCCTAGAGGAATTTGCCCAAATCTGCACAGATATCACTGTATGCAAAAAAGAGGCTTGATGTATGGTGTAAAAATCCCCCTTAAAAGAAAGGGTGTAATGAGTACACTGAGATAATACTTAAGTGTCAGAAAACCAAAACATTTCAGTGGGCTCCAATTATATATAAGGAGGATCACCAACAGACCCTTGCTGTCTTCCAGAAGGAACTTTGTAGGTTTCTTGAATCTGCCTGATAAGCCAGGCTGTGATTTGTATGTTGGACTGAATGTGGCCAACAGTAATAACCTAGTTGATCAGGCCTTGATCCACCAAAGGGCCTGATCATTGACACACTAAAACATCCTTTAGGTATCCTTCAGGAATTGTTAGGATGGTTCTGTCATTTATAAAGAATAATTCAAAATCATATTACCAAGAGGGCAGATGGAACAAGGTGTAAGAGACATTCCTGAAAGGCTTGGAGGGAGAAGGTTTCATGTGGTAGAGCTTGTGTATCCAACCTTTCATTTCACCATTGTCTTCTAATTTCTATGCTCCTTATGCTCTTGATAAATTTCATACAACAGAGCATGTGAAATACAAAGTACAAATAGTGCAATACCTTTACAGTACCAGAATTACATTTTCACACAAAGATTGTGTTATTTGTTTTACAAATTTTCACTATATCGCCAGGAAGTATGACATTTCTGATTATTTATAAAAACGAATTCTTGGGAATATGCACTTGCAATTATGTATGGTTTTTATTCCTTTTTCTGTACTGCAGGACTGGCTGAAACAGACTGGAACAGGGAAGCCAGATAAGGACGAGTTTGTGTGCCCCAGATGTGGTTCCTTCAAAACTGCTTGCCTTGCTACCTTTCGTTCTCACCTATGTAGGGAAGCAGATTATGACAGGTATAGTGCTCTTTCTGTGTTTGACATCTGCACACTACTACTTTGAACACTGTTTAAGGGTTAAACCTTAAAGTCAAGGAACATCAGATGACTAATATCCAGGACTGAAGTTTCTTCTAAACAGTGAGATATTGTAGTGCAGCACACAAGATGGTCAGAAAGTTTTTTGTTAGCCAGTGAAATTTCAGTTTCCACAATAGAGAAGCACAATACTGTTCTTTGATATTATGTTCTCAGCAGTGAAAGGGTTGTAATCTGAAGTCTGAAAAATATATATTTCTATATGTAATTAAAAGACCATTGATAATTTGATATTTTGTTACAGGTACCAGTGTGTGGAATGTGGAGTCTGTAATGCTCTTCTTCCCAGCTTGCAGCGCCATTTCACTAAAATGCATCATGCACCGTTTACGTCTGATTGCTATCTTAATCTTCCTGTAGAAGATGATAAAGAGGCCTGGGTAAGTTTGTTTAACTCTTTGTAGGAGAGGGAAATCTTAAAATGATGTTTCTTTTATACGTTAGGAGACATGTAACTTTTTTACACTACTCTCTTTACCACAAGCAAAAATTGTCCTCCTCTCTCTCTAAGGAGAGGATGCTTGCATCCATAGAAATGAAATGCTACTATACATAAGATACAAAGACACACTGCTGACAGTAATGAACAAAAACAGGTGTAACGTAGGCATTTATGGGGTAATGTTTCACTCTTGTGGAGAACCATATCAAGTCTGTGACTAGAGAAAACTCTGTTGTCACTATTAATGCTTGCTCTGTATCTGTCTTTTCTTTGAGAAGTTTATTATGAGAATCAGTGTGGCTTAATTGAAACATTGCATCATTGTCCCATTTTATGGCCAATTACAGCACAGTACAATGGTCCCAGTATTTATCTGTTCCAAAAGATATATCATACCAGAAAACTAACTTATCTCAAACCCCAAAATAGATGGTTTTATGGTAATTCATTCTAAGACCCCAGAAGTGCAATGTTTACTGTGGCTTAGCCTTGAAGAGTTGGTGGTGTGGTAGTGTTGGGAAGGGCGGGTAGGCTAGAGCTGGTAGGGCAGGGCAAAGCAGGCAGGGAGAGGAACGAGGAGTGCAGTGCAAAGCAGGGCAGGCATTACAGGCAGAGATCGGCTGCAGTCTCCTACTGCCCACGTCTGGTACATGTACAGTCTCATTCCCTCCTCTGGCTGCCTTCCTTCCTTCCACCTTCCCCCACTCCCACCCGTTACTCCCTGTCCCTCCCATTCACCCTGTCTTGTCTCTGGGCTGAGACCCACCCCGTGCACCGATCATTGTGCGTATCATATCTCAAATTTTTCTTAGCAATCCCATATTAAATTCCTTTATAAGGGTACTTTGTAACTTAAAACCATTGTAACTCAAGGGACCACTGTATATGTATTTTTATTGTTCTTTGAAAGGTTGAAAATGTCATCATCCACCAGCAGCATTTGATCAGAGTTTGGCAAGAGAAGGGTTGTGTTGAAGTTAGTTCTGAATCCATATCATCATATACAGTAGGAGCTCAACATGCTGCTCCTGCCAGGGCTTCAGCTAGCACACGTCGCTCTTTAACAAATCTTACGTCTGACTCTGCTTCAAGTAAGTTTTTTTCAGTATTTACCCATAGCCTCCTATTGTGTAACTTAAATATATGCATTTGATCATATTTACATGGCTACGTTCTGTGCGTATGTGTGGGAGAACACTTGTACTTTTGTGTGAACACCACCATTTTTTTTTTAGCAAAGCACTGGAATTATCAATGATGTGTCTACTCTTGATTGATATGATTTATTTAACCGATCTATGTGATACTACTGTATGTCTTGAAATTTGATTATGGTTCACTACTGGAGTTCAGAAATACTGTCATGGATAGTTTCAAGTTGTATGCTAAATAAAATATTGCTTCCAAGTATTTTAATTCAAGCACAGTGTGTTCAGTATAATTTGTCACTGTTACTGTTATATGCATGGAAAATGTTGATGAATGAACACCTCAGTTTAAAATTGTTTAAACACTTCATTAACACAACTTTCTTCAAATGGGAGTTTTTCACTGGAGACCTACCTGAGTATATTAGTAGATTATTATTAAATTCATAGTGATTAGCAGTTTTGATATTTAATTTGCAAAAAGTTTTATCAGAATTATCCTAAAATTAGATAATACTGTTAAAGATTATGATAAGTTTTCCCATGTCACTCTATTTCAAATTAGATGAGCCTAGCAGTAGCATTTAGATCTAATTTATTAAAAATGAGCTACGTGTATTATCAAGGTTTTATGTTTATTTACATGGCTTCTGAGCTATAGTAGTTTAATGGGTATTTATCATGGCATTAATTTGAATTTTTTCATAAATCTCTTTAAATAATTTGCGTAGAGATGTAGTCCCCTTACCATTTAAGTTATTCTTGATGAAAAATGTAGTGCAAAGATATTTAATGAACACCTCCCACTCCTTCCATCTGCCTCTGGTACCTTACCCCCATCCACTAGGTGAGGGTTCCCCCCAGCAAGGTGGTGTTGTTCTGCACGACTCTGGCAGTGAGCGGGGTCGCTTCGTCTGTGACACTTGTGGGTCAGAGTTCCGATCATCTGCTGGACTCAAGAGCCATACCACTGCCATGCACCAAGCCAGGTCTGCTGATGATATGACTTGTGGCCTTTAAGCACCCAGCTTTACTCTAGTGATAGCAAAGTTACTAAAATTTGCATAGTAGTCTGCAGTTATGTTTGCATACAATTAAACAGTAGTTTAATAATACCAGAACTGTAGAATCAAAGTTATGTAGTAAAATCAGTAATTTATAGTTTTATACATCTTTTAAGTATGGAAAGCTTCCTACCTGAGGCTGTCCACTGAAAAAGGAGGTAGCTAGGCTTCCAAATTGAAGAAAAAATATACAATTTTGGCCTCTTCTAAAAATATTGCATAGATTATATATGGGTTGTTTCTCAGATATTTGTCTTTTGATGATATCTACTCTTTATTGAAAACCCAACTTGGACATTTGCCAAAGAATTCCAGGCACTTTTTTTTTCATATGAATAAAGCTGATTCTTCTTGTTTACATTGTTAAATACAATTATGGAAAAAATAGAGATTATCTTCAGCAGCATATTATGTTCTTCAAGGAGGAAACAAATAATTATGATGAATATAAAGATGATAGTGCCTGGGGCTCTAAGAAAAAAGAAAGGGAAGAGGATATTATAAATGTTCAAGTGTGGAATAATAATTGATAACCTGGTAAGTGGCATTCAGCAAGCATGTTCCTATTATTTGGCTTGAACCAGAGCTTGGTTATTGCAGTAACGTCTGTATTTTCTTCAGGTGCAATTAGCTTTCTTCAGGTGCAATTAGCCTTTGGTTATTTATTTCTAGCACTCAAAGTTACATTTCTCTGAACATTTCTTTAGGAGTAGAGAAGATTTTTTTACTCTGTTTTTAACCTCCTCTACCTCCTACTAAGATAAGATGACCAAAAAAGAAACCACCTTCACCATCATTTATTTGCTGTCTTGCTAAAGTCTGCTAACATCACAATTCAAATGATTGTCTAACTACAATATCCTACACCCCTTCAGAGTGCAGGCACTTTCTTTCCCACCTTCAAGACTGAGTCTAACTAGTATATTTCTCTGAATCTCTATAAATGTTTCATTGCTTATTCTCAAGAAAAGAAACTTATTTAACAATTTATCATTCACATTTTCTTATAAAATACAATAATTGTGTGCAGCAGTGATTGATTAATAAAATAATGCCATAATCACCTTTTCTTGTTAACAAGAAATCATGATTGTGGCAGCATTTTATTAATCAGTCATTCATTAGTGCACACAACTCTTTTATTTCATGACAGAATGTGTGCAGTTACTTACAAAATATCGTGTTTTCTCGCAGAGTGAGGACATTTATAGTAATCACAAAATACGAAAGATTACATTTAACTTGATTAGGTTTATAATTGTGTTTTTGAAAATAACGTACGTTTCTGGAATTCCCAAACATGCCAAAAAAAAAATTTCTGAACCTTTATAATTTGTCAGGACTCAAATATGATCTAGTTTTCCATTCTTTACGTACTAGCTGTCATTGCTTGTTGATAGAAATGTAAAAAGAGAGTTGATATAACTCTGTACAACTTATGACAGGTGGTTCCACAACTATCACTTGCCATGGCTGCCACTACCACAATCAGTCACTTGTAAATGTCGGTAAAAATATCATATACAGTGGACTCTTGGTTATCGGCCATTCCGGATATCGGCCAATCCGGTTTTCGCCCACTTTTTGGCCGAAATTCTATCCCGGTTATCAGCCGCTATTTCGGAGAATGGCCATATTGGATGCATCCACCCGCCACTCCTTTCATGAGTCAGTCTGGCTGTGTCTGTGGGCGAGTGAGGAAGCCTCCGCACATTCATCCAAACATTTCACTATAATCCATTGTGTTTTGTGGTTATTGATTGAGTGCAACTGCAAAATAAGCCACCATGAGCCCAAAGAAAGTTCCTAGTAAAGTTCCTTCAGTAAAGAAAGTGAGAAACACGATGGAATTTAAGAAAGAAATTATTGAAAAGTATGAGAGTTGTGTACGTATGCTTGAACTTGCCAGGATATATGGGAAATCCAAATCAACAGTCACTTCCATCCTGGCAAAGAAAGTAGACATCAAGGAAATTAATGTTGCGGAAGAGATAAAGGTGCTAACAAAACAAAGGTCACCGATAATCAAAGATGTGGAGAAGTTATTGTTGGTGTGGATCAACGAAAAACAATTAGTAAGAGATAGTGTTGTAGAGTCGATCATTTCTGAAAAGGCAAGGCAGTTGCATGTGGATCTCGTAAAGAAAATGCCTGGAGCGAGTACTGATGTTAGTGAATTTAGGGCCAGCAAAGGCTGGGTTGAGAGATTTAAGAAGCGTAGTGGCATACACAGTGTTGTAAGGCATGGCGAGGCTGCAAGTTCTGACAAATGTGCAGCCGAAGCATTTGTTGATGAATTCAAGGGGCACATAGAGGCTAAAAGATTCCTCCTCCAACAGGTGTTCAGTTGTGATGAAACAGTCCTCTTTTGGAAGAAAATGCCCAAGAGGACCTACATCATGCAGGAGGAAAAGGCACTGCCAGGACACAAGCCTGTGAAAGACAGGCTTACTCTTTTGCTCTGTGGTAACACTAGTGGGGATTTCAAAGTGAAGTCTTTACTGGTGTATCACTTTGAAACTCCCAGAGTGTTCAAGAAAAACAATGTCATCAAGAGTAAATTGTGTGTGTTGTGGAAGGCTAATAATAAGGCATGGGACACAAGGCACATTTTCATTGACTGGGCCCATGAAGTGTTTGGCTCGAGTGTGAAAAAATACCTCCTGGAAAATAAATTGTCACTCAAGTGTCTCCTGATACTGGACAGTGCTCATGCTCATCCTCCAAACTTGGTAGACCAATTGTCTGTTGAGTTAAGTTTTATAACAGTGAAGTTCTTGCCTCCTAACACCACTCCTCTCATCCAGCCCATGGACTAGCAGCTCATTTCTAACTTCAAAAAACTCTATACGAAAGCAGTGTTTCAAAGGTGCTTTGAAGTAACCTCGGACACTGACTTGACCCTAAGAGAGTTCTGGAGGAATCACTTCAATATCCTCCATTGCATAAGCCTTATAGGTAAGGCTTGGCAGGGAGTGACTTCCAGGATTTTGAACTCTGGAGAAAATGGCGACCAGAATGTGCCCTCGACAAGGATTTTGAAGTTTTTGAAGCTGGCCCTGACGACCCTATGCCTGTTGTGGAATCTATTGTGTCTTTGGGGAAGTCCATGGGGTTGGAGGTGAGTAGCGAGGATGTGGAAGAGTTGGTGGAGGACCACAGGGAAGAGCTAACCACTGAAGAGCTGCAAGACCTTCATCTGGAACAGCAACAGACCACAGCTGAGGAAATTGGTTCAGAGGAGGAGGAAGAGAGAGGGCAGAATGTGCTTTCTTAGTGATTAAGAACATTTGTGCAAGTGGAGGGAGGTGCAAACTTTTGTTGAAAAATATCACCCTGTCCAAGCTCAAACAAGCCATATCTGCAACATGTTCAGTGACAAAACCCTGTCCCACTTCAGGCAAATCTTAAAGAGATGCCAGAAACAGAGCTATCTGGACAGTTTTTTTTTTTTTTTTTTTTTTTTTTTGTGTGTGTGTGTGTGTGTGTGTGTGTGTGTGTATGTGTGTGATGAGTCCAGTGACTCTCAAGCTGGTCCCAGTGGCAGTAAAAGACAAAGAAGGGACATAACCCCAGAGAGGGCTTTGATACCTGAAGTCCTTATGGAGGGGGATTCCCCTTCCAAACAATAATCAATCCTCCCTCTCTCCTCCTCCCTGTCTTCCATAAGCCAACAAGAGTCTTCAATAAAGGTATGTAATAGTGATTTAAATGTTCATTTATTTATTTTAGTTAGTTCTTATTGTTTTGTATATGTAAAACTATAGTTAATCTTTAAAAAATGCATTTTTTGTTAATATTTTTGGGTGTCTAGAAAGAATTAATGTTTTTTTTAACAAGTTGGCCATCTCCCACCTAGGCAGGGTGACCCAAAAAGAAAGAATATCCAGAAAAAGAACATACTTTCACCTCACTCATACGTGATCACTGTCTTTGCAGAGGTGCCCAGATACAACAGTTTAGAAGCATATATAACATACCCCTCCAAACTGCCAATATCCCAAACCCCTCATTTAAAGTGCAGGCATTGTACTTCCCATATCCAGTAATCAAGTCTGGATATATAAAAATAACCGGCAAGGCGGTGATGGAGTGAATGATGGTGAAAGTTTTTCTTTTTCAGGCCACCCTGCCTTGGTGGGAATCGGCCAGTGTGATAATAAAAATAAAATAAAATAATAAATTATTAAACAAAAATACCAACCACTCCAACACTATATCCTCCCTGCTTTTAACATTTCTGTCATTATCCCATCAGTTCCAGCTGCTTTACCCCCTTTCATTCTACATAATGCCTCACGCACCTTTCCCCACTCACATCCTGCTCTCCTTCACTCCTAAAAGATGTTATACCTCCCTGGCCAGTGCATGAAATTACCGCCTCCCTTTCTTCATCGACATTTAAAAGTTCCTCATGATATTCGCGCCATCTACCCAATACCTCAAGCTCCCCATCTACTAACTCCCTTACTCTGTTTTTAACTGACAAATCCATTCGTTCCCTAGGTTTTCTTAACTTGTTTATCTCGCTCCAAAATTTTTTCTTATTTTCATTAAAATTTCTTGACAGTGCGTCTCCCACTCTATCATCTGCTCTCCTCTTCCACTCTCTCACCACTCTCTTTCACCTTTCCTTTACTCTCCATATACTCTGCTTTTCTTATAACACTTCTGCTTTGTAAAAACCTCTCATAAGCTACCTTTTTCTCTTATCACACCCTTTACTTCATCATTCCACCAATTACTCCTCTTTTCTCCAGCACCCACCCTCTGTAATGTTAAGATCTACATTATTTAACTTGTGTGGCATGGTTATATTCTTGTCCAACATTTAGAACTTTGCATTTGTCTATATTAAACTGCATCTGCCACTTCTCTGACCATTGCATCAGTCTATTCAAATTATCCTGGAGTGCTCTAATATC